AGCATGATGCGCCAAAGACGACTTTTTACGGATTAAGGCGGTTCAGAATGAATTTTGCGCAAATTTTCAAAGGGACACTTGTTCTAAACACCCCTTGGAGTGATTCAATGCATCTAGACAATTTGGAAGGTTCTTTTATTAAGGGATATGTCTCTTCTAAGGGATATGTCTCTTTATTAAGGGATATGTCTCTTCGATCAATGGACATGCCTTTTCAATTCAAAAAAGTTGACTTTTGGATAGAATTTTAGAGGGAATTTTGAATTGGCTTTATGATATGCATTAGTAAAAATTATTGATAATGATATAATATATGATTTCGTGGGAGAATCACATTTGATTTCATGGGAGAGCATTTCATCCATGGGGTTGAGTGCAAGTTGAGTGCAAATAAATAGGAGTTGAATGCAGAATTGGAGATTTTAAGGTGACATGCAGAATTGGAGATTTTAATTGGAGATTTTAAGGTGACAGATTAAAATTCTCAATTTGGTCCAGTTGATTAGAAGCTGATGCGAGATTGTTAGCCCTCAATTGAGGGAGTAGTGAGAGCTCTGGAGTGACAGTCGGTATCCTCCCAGCCCGATCACGGCATTAGGGATCAAAGTCTACATTAGTCAATATTCTTTATGGACTTGGAAGAGGGTAAAAAATAAGATTGTTCCTATTTGGCCCAAAACAATTTTTTATATATTTTTTCAAATGATTTTAATTACTTCACTAACCATGTATTCATTGTAAAAGGGAATGATACTTTCTTAAATTTGAATTCTTCGTCACAAAACTTTTTTTAGTCTTTGTAAATTTAACTTTGAAGTTTAGAAATTAGTTTAGTAAACTTAGTTCTTTTAGTTACATTTTTGTTAGCATTCATTAAACATATTTTAACTTGGCTTTCTTACTTTAATTTTTATAGTTTGAATATTGTGATTTATGTTACTATCATAAGAATTTTCATCTTCCAAACTAAGATTTGATAGTAGTGGACTAGAATTAGCCTAAATGATTTCTTACTGCGCTTCTCTGTGGGATCGATACTGGGGTTTTTAAAGAAAACCCTATATTACTTGAAGCGATACATGCACTTGCGTAGAACCACTACTATATGAACTATTTTATATATTTCATATAACATTTTGATTTTGCACATTAACTACTTAATATAAGTTGGGTCAAGTTTTTGGTCATATTTTTGAAAGCTAAATTACTGTGTAATTTCGGGAAGGGTTAAGTTTTTGGCATTATTACCGGGGATTTAAATTAACATAAAACACGCAGAAAAATAACACACACTAGGGGTGCATCATGCGTCATCATTTCCCCCAACATTTACTCCTATGCTCATAGTGTGATTCTATAAATTCAAAATTTTAAATTTCCTGCCATTATGCGATGAGAAAATTAGCTTTCCAATGATTAGCTTTAATCAGAAGTGCTCTCCCATTATTGGGAGGGGTGATTAACCATAAGAACTTCTGCCTAAGGGAAACCTCGAACCCCAATCTCAAAGTCATTGCAAAATGAGGGTGAAATCTCTAGGTAGTGTCTTCTCTACTATATCATCTATCTTTTGAACATTTAACCAGGAACCTTACGGTAAACTTCCCAGCTCATTCCTCTCATTTTCGAGGGAGATTGGGGCCATTTTGAATTTTTGGAGCACCCGGTAGGTCTAGAAAAGTGTGAGCATCGTGCTAGTTTAGGATAGAATTAATGCCTCAGATGGACTATGCTAGAGCGCTTGATTGTGTGCAGAGTTGATGGTAGTTACATGCACAATCAATGTCATCAAACTTTATTTGGGATTTTGTGTGAAAAATGTGCATGAGTGAACACAAGAGAAGGCAAGCCAACATTGGGCTAATTTTACTATGCCAAGCATTATTGTGGTACAACCTTGAGATTTAAGTCGACCTTAACATAGAATTTTGTTTATCGAGGTAAATTTTATATATTTTCTTATATTTATTTGATACATAAGCAAAATAAAAATTTTTAGAAATAACATATTATGTAGAGTTTAACATTAAACAAAGAGAATAAAATTTTAAAAAGTTAATATAAAAGTTACAAGATGAATAATTTAAATAGAGTAATTGTTAAATTTAATCTAATAATATTAATATTAAATTAAAATGGAGAAATTTAAATGAATAAACCAATAGATAAAGATTATTCAAGTAAAAGTAAATAATTTGATTAAAATTTATTAATATGAAACATCAAAATAAAGAAAGTGAAATTAAAGGAGTAAATGAATAAGGGCAAAAATAAGTTGACTCTTATTACAGTTGGCTCTCTCACTAATAAATTGTTATAATGATATTTTGTTTATTCTAAATCGCTTACATAAGAATGACATTTATTTAGATAACTTAATACTACAAATATGATATGATTTTTCACAATTAATTGGATTGGTTATATAATAATAAATGCCAATAATTTACATAATTATACTTATTTATTATATATACTAATTATAATAAAAAGATAAAGATTGATATGCAAAACATGAATAAAATGATTTGTAGTATGCTTATCTATGCATTATTATTTGATGAAGTTCTTCATTTTATGATACTAGCTAGGGACACTAATGCAAAAATTCATGTAAAGTAGAAAAGAATATTGATAATGATATAAATTAATTGGTATAATTTTAAACAGTGCTCATATGATGAATATAAATGACATAGATATTATAAGATATTGTATTATAGAATGCTCTGTATTTACTTAAATAGTCATAGCTGAATCATAAATGCTCCATAATTTTTATGATGATTTATTACATTTAATTGTCATTTTGTTACTATAGTTTAGAAATATGCGTATTCACCAATGATTCATTGTTCATAATATTTTAAACTAATATTTTTCATGTTTAGGTTTTGAATTAGAAATGAGTGATAGAAAATTAAATGTGTATTAAAGATGTGAGAAAAATAAACTCCATTTTTATTGTTTATTTTAAATTAGTTTAAATTAGAATCGTTAAAGACTCTTTAAACTCAGTGAAAAATTATTTTTTATTACTCAGTATAAGTTATTTGTTACCATTTTCAAAATTTCAAAACCTCGGCCTGGATTGTAACACTATCATGAGTTCGAAGATGTTCAAAAAATATAATTTTGTTTTTCAAACAAAATTCAAACATAATTCAAACACTTATTCTAATAATGTTCATAAGACACTCTTTAACTTTGTATTAGAGCTACATTTAAATGGCCTAACATGCAATATATAAATAAAATACTGAAAAAATTGCATGTAATAATTAAAGTTGTTGATAAATGAAGAAATCTAAGTATTAGTTATCTTACTCCCCTTGAGCAAGCAATACAAAATGTGAAAGGTTTGACATCATTCTCTTATCTATTTTAGTCAGAGATATGTTTTTGGATATATGTGACTAAAAAATAAGGAAATTTAACATATGTGCCAAATATTTCATATGTATTTAAATATCTATCACCTATAGTTTAGATTTACATTTATTACACCTTGGTACATAAACCTAAGCATGAAAATATGTATTTTAGTTTTATGAAATTGTATTGTCATATTTTCTATGTAATGCCAAAGATTTGGATGCTTTGGATATAAATATAAAAGTATTAGATATGTAAACATGAGAGAATCACGTGAATTGTAGGTAAATGCACCCAAAAATAAACAAGAATGGTTATATTTATTTAATTTTTGCTCTTGCAATACATATCTCACTTATTAATTTGTTTGTATATTTTTATTTTTGGAATATAAAATAATAAATTGTAAAATAATTTTCTAATGATCTCATTCAAGGGATAATTGAGATGAATAATACATATGAAAATGTATTAGAGCATATATCTTTTAATTTATCATTTATTATTATTATAAATATGTCATAAAAAAATAACTATATAAAATATTTGATATTTTCATTCTAAATAAAATTGCATGAACATATTAAAATTGATTTTAAAATTGAGTATAAAGTAATTTGCACTTGCCCACTTGGGTGGTGGACTCGAGTAGAGTCCAGAGAGGTGACCACCCCCCCTCTTCCCCCCGGCCCCGCTAAAATTTAGATTTTGTTATATGGGATAATAATTTGGTCTTTTGCACCTTCTGAAACATCAATTATGTCCCTCACAAATTCAAATTTTTACTTATATAGGAGAGAATTCCATAAAAACACATAAATGAATACCTAGAAAGGAAAGAAAGTAATATATAATTATTGTTCTTTGCCTTTTACTATCATTAATAATAAAACAAAAACTATTATAATATCAATTTAAGAATTAATTTATGGCTTGTTTGGGCTTTCTTTTTTTATATATTCTTTTTACTAAAATATTTTTATTTTTATTTAAAAAAAGTTATAAATGAACTCTTTTTACAAAAACATTCACAATTTTTTAACATATTTTGAATATTTAAAATAAATTTATTTATTTTAATTTATAAAAAAATTTATTTTAAATGAAAATATAAACAATCCAAAAAAAAAATGCATGATACCAAACACCCTTAGCATAATATCATCAATCCATAATATAATACGTGGGCATACTATCAACAAAATTTCAATGAAATGAATAAATTATAATTCAAATTAAAATACAAAAACTTTAACAATTTGAAAACATAAATACTGAAAATAAAAATTAAAAAAAACAAATATAATTTTAAAAATATTTTAGCCATTGGTATCATTAACGGCAGCATACCATGCAACAACTTTCCTTTTTAAGCCTTTCCGCGGCCGTCGAATCCCATCCGAGCCAACCATTCGATTAACGGTCCTCGTACCACAGCTAAAGCTGCGCTGTTATTTCTCGCTGTCAATTGAAGACTTTCCGTTAAAAGTCAGACAATAACAGAAAGTAACGGTCTCAACGGACAAAAGTCAAATCTTTTCCTCTCTGGCATTCAACGCGGCAAATTCCTCTGCCCGCACCGACGTCTATAAATAGGTTTACGGGACAAGGTTAGTCCCGCCTTCCCCACCTCATATATCCATGCAAGGAGGGTTTAGTTCTCGGACAATCGGGGGCTGGTGTTAGAGGGAGAGGGTCGATCCGGTATGTTCGGTACTTCGTCCCCTGCCTCCATCCACATTCTCTAATCGTCCCGCCATTTTCTTTTCTTCCAGGTCCGGATCGTCGTCTCCCTCTCGCCATCCTCTGTCCACTAGGGTTAGGGTTTTATAAAACCATCTGTCGACTTATAGATCTCGAACACACCCCAATGCCATCTATTTCCCTTTAGGTTTGCTTGATTATCTCGATCCTTTGATTTACTTTTGTTTCTTTGTAATAATTAATTTTTTAGTTTAATTTAATTTGTTCGGATCGATATGGCTAGGTTGGCGTTGAACGGGAAGAATGGAGAACATGAATGGGGCAGCCAGTTTCAGGGGGAAACGATCGGGATTAGAAGAGGAGGCACGGCATAGAAGCCCTGATGAGATAACGGAGGAGGATTTTGCATGGGTGGCGGAAATAGTTGACGAGACAGAGACTCCGATTAAGAAAAACACTTCTCCCAGGTATTTTGTTGACTCTTCTGCTTGCTCTAATGCTTGTCGATTTCATTCTACTCCTTCTAACGTTCCACGAAAGGAATTCAGGCCTTTGAGGTTCATTCGCGGGCCTACTTGGTTTTCAAATAAATCTCTTCACTATGACGAAACTTGGCGTCAGTATCTGGAGGAAATCTCTCTAGGGCTCAGCATTGGGAGAAATTCTAATGGCCTTCACGCTGCACAGGGGAATGCTTCGACATCTAATGCCGCCCCTGAAGGTTCAACAAGTTGCCCAGACAGGAGGAATGCCTTTCAGGCCAAGCACGCTCAATCAGATTCAGATTCAAGACGGGCTAGACAGTAAGCATTCAACTAATTTGTTAACATTTGCCTCTCTTTTTTTTCCCTTTAGTTTTAAAATCTTAAATCGCCATTCTTGCCACAAATTCATGCTAAAGTCAGGTAGGGGTGTAACTGAGCTAAGCCGATTCGTTGTCCGGCTTGAGTTTGGCTCAGTAAGTGGCTCGTCGGCGAGCCAGCTCTTTCAGCTTAATTCAATTATTTAATTAAACTCAAGCTCAAATCAAATATGGTTAGAGTTGGAGGTGTAAACGAGCCGAACACAGACTCAGCTTCTGTTCCGCTCGTTTATATTTCAAACACATAAAGTTTGTTCGTGTTTGGCTTGTCCGCTTAGCAAGTCGAACACAAGCTGTTCACGAACAAAAAGTCGTTTTGCCACCCCTAATCACGTAGCCATAAGATATTAATGGTTGTGGTAAGATTTAAAAATTATTGTTTATATTATAACATCTTTTGAATCTAATTTAATAGATTTTATTCTGTTTTCTTAATTAATACTTGTAATTGATTATAAATCTTTGTAGCCTTGTAGTTAATTAAATTTTTAAAAATACTACTTAACAATATATATATATATATATATATATATGATAAGTAGTATTTCAAGCCAAAATGAGATGAACAAGAACGAACAAATCTTTGTTCGTGTTTGGCTCGTTAACTTAGTGAACAAGCCGAACAAGAGTTGTTCCAACGAACCGTGTTGTCTTGACAACCCTAAACACAACTAGAAAGAAGTCATTTGTTTGTGTTTGGCTCGTTAACTTAGCGAACGAGCCGAACAAGAGTTGTTCCATCGAACCGTGTTGTCTTGACAGCCCTAAACACAACTAGAAAAAAAATGACTTCTCTTACAAATCAGTCACCATCAATCTAGATGTAGTAAGTTTTCTGCTTACGTAGGCCACGCCTCTTTAACAATATGTTTTTATCTCTTAAATCCACATTACACTTATTTTAGAAAAAATGAGAGTGTCAATTTAACTTGTTCATGTAAACCGTTAAGACATATTCTTAAAATTTATTGAACTTATTCTAAAATAAGTGGAACACAAATTTTAATTGGTTCATCCTTTATTAAACTCATGAAAAAGAAAAGATATTTGTAAAAATTTTTCTTATCTAAATTTAATTAAAAGTTATTTTTTTCTTTAATCCTATATCACATTAAAAAAAAATCCATCTTCAGTGCATTATTAAAGCTCAATATTTTTGAATTTCAAAACAATCCTATTTAATAAAAAAATTTACACTTCAGATTAATTTAAATTAATTAATAATTATGCCATTACTTTCAAAAAAAGAGATCAAGCCAGTCCTTAGAAAAATGTACATACCACACAATTCTTATGTATATCTCACACGTAGACTTTAATATTTACATCAATAATACTCGAATCTTTATCATCACATTAAAATGACTACTTTTACTAACTTATTAAAAGTCAAATGTACATTTTGATGCATAAATTAATAGTACCAAGAAATTATAAATAAAAATATTAAACTTTAGGATTTAGATATGTAAATCCATAAGAACTGTGTGGTATACGTATGTAAATTTTCATCTCTCTCTCTATTTATATATATATAAGTTAAGTGCATATATGGTATCTATATTTTTCTATTGACTCATATTTCCATTTTGTCAGGCAACCTCCTCGAAGGTCTCGGGGTTTGAAATTTCAATGTTTTAATGAACTGGAGAGCAGCATTCAGGCGTTGCAGGTTAAGTGCTGGCCGGTTGCCCTGTGTTTATGTTTAATAAATTATATCAATCTATATATATATATATTATATATTTAATTTTAATGTTGCTAATTATAAAAAAAAAATAAAGATAAAAAGACTTTCTCCCCACAAAATCTATTAACATTTTTATGAAGAAATGCTTAAATTTCCTCAGAACAGTGTTAAGGCCATTTTATTTTTGGTCACCACTACAGGATGTAACAGGGGAGTTCTTAAATGCATTGGGACTTCTAGATCGGATGTGCTTATTAAGCTTTGAAAATATGATCATGAGGCAGCGAATCGAGAATACATTTCAAGCAGAGCTTATAAGAGGCTGTAAGCATCCCATTCTTGGCAGTTCCCTTTTTATTACTTCTCAATTACTTGAATGTTTCATTGTTATTTGTTCTTTTCTGCATGAAATTTAGAGGAATTATATTTTCACTTTGAAGAAAAGTAAGGTTTTAAGGAATGAGGGGCTTCCAAACAATATTTATTAGTTTACTGGAAAACATACAGCAAAAATAGAAAAAAAAGATGAGAATAAGGTGAGGAATAACAAGAGCAAGAGTAAGAAAACATGGAAAATTTACATACACGCCACTTAAATCCTATGTATTCATATATACAACACCTAAACCATAGTTTTTACATATATGTCACCTTAACTATGAATGTAAAAATATATTATAATTTTTAGAAGTTAATATTGTGGTACTTTTGATGTGATAGGAAAGATTTGGGAGTTAGAAATGTAAAAAAAAGAAACTTTAGGTGTCATATATATGTAAATATGTAGGAATTGGGTGGTATCTATGTACCCTAAACGAAAATATTAAAGCAAAGTATAAGGTCATAGAGCATACCCTTGTATCATCTCCTACCCTTGTATCATCTCCAACAAGCTGAGGGTAAAATTCCCCATCCCTCAAAGGTTTAGGGTTTAGGAAAGGATACAAATAAATAGAGAAGGGTAGCAATTTATAGAGCAGAACTGATCCAAATTCCATATACTCATCACAGCCCCTTCAACACATTCTTTGTGTTTTATGACCAGATTGAAACCACTGCTTACCTGTGTTAGAGCAATTTATTGCCTCCTTTACATCTCACAAATGTCCTAAATCCTCCATGTTTGCTTGATTGCATCAACTCAAAGAAGAGTAAAACGGTTTTCTACATTTTTGTTTTTGTCATTTTACAGATCTGTACGACAATTATCTGCAAGAGATGGCTCGTCTTCATGCACTGTTTCAGCAGCAGATGTATCCGCAGCCTTCTTCATCCCAGCGTCGTTTTAATAATGGCAGAAACCTTAATCCCCAGTCTGCTAATAAGTCCTTGAAGCATTAAGAGACAGACAACTGTAACTGGTCTCCGTGTGTAATAATCATTTGTTATGAGTTTGAGTGATGGTTTGATATTGTGCTTTCTCCCATTGGTGTTTGGTTTTCAGTTGTGTGACTCATCAAGAGCTATGGATGTTCGGTGCCAAATTGAAGGTGAGTAACTTCATATTCTTCTCTATTTTATTCTATTCTATCACATTTTTTATAGCTTTTGTTAGGTCTACATACGATCCAATTCCTATGTATTTACATTCCTAACACTTTCATTTTACTTTTTACATTGTAAAAATTGAAGTTTGGGTGTTAGTTATGTAATAGCTCCAAGTTCAGTAGTCTTTTATTCTCTATATGTTTCCTCTTTCTGTGTTTTATAAGCATTCAGACTTAATCTTCTTTGTTATTTTGAAGGTAGTCGTTTCAGCATTCGGAACCATTTGGTGCCATGCATGTGACGATCAGGAAAGGAAGGCGAAGGCATCATCTCCTTGGGCTCTTCACTGCTGATTCTTGTTTTCTTTTGTTTTGAGAATAATATAATGAAATTGATGTACTGAATAGTAATGTTGTTTTTGTGGGAAGAGCATTTTGTTTGTTGGTTTAAAGTGCAATATCAATTTCTGTGTGTTTATTTGCTTCCTTCTCAAGATCTTCTGCTTCATTTTTCTGTTTGATGTGATTTATGCTTTTCGAGTTTTTTTTTTTTTGAAAAAACAAAGGAAGGGTGTCTCTAATTCTTCATTTATCCTAATTGTTAATCTATGCATGAAAAGGTACTTTTAAAAAGGTAGGAAAAATGGTATTTTTGATGTAATTTTAATGATTTGAGTTGTATGTATGTAATATGAATGTTTGGTGTTAAGTAAATATATGAGATTTGTGTGATGTGTATGTAAATTTCCTTAAAACTAATCATGTTGTAAGATATATATATATATATATATATGTATATATATAGGTTGGATGATTGCCATAATAATATAAATTTATGTATAAATAAGGGTGTGTTTTGGGCTGCTGCTACTTCGGTGTGAAGGTGCTTCGTGGGAAAGCTGTGAGAAGCAGCTTCATAGTTGTTGTCAGAAACTTTTTGCTAGGGTAGCAGTCAGTCTATCTAGATAATCTGCTATGCTGCAGCTGTTTCTGATAAAAAAAATATTTATACCACTATAGATATAAATTAACTAAATAACTACAATTTTCAAAATAATTATAGCAAAATAACATAGACATCTTTAAAAGTACATAAAAGATGACAGGAGTCTAATTTCCCTAATATATCAGTTTTAAAGCATCATTTTCACATAATATCACAATAATAAAAATTACAAAAATAAGTAATGATATAATAACATTCACTTTCATGTCAAGATGATCAAGTACTCTTCAAGATATTTTTTTGTTCATAGCATCTCTCATGACGTGGTCATTATTTAAAGTGAACTCCTCTATATCATCAACCTATCAAAAAGCTGCAATCTTCATGTGTTTTATTTATGAGACAACAATAAGATCTATCACAGCTGTCTTCACTTCTTAATGTGTATTCAAAACATTGCATATCACAATGACCGTACAAAACTCTTAAAGTATTCAATGGCCTTGAACGTGTTTTTCCAAAGATTATAATATGTTATGTTTTTAATCAACAAATTAGACTATATATGCAGAGATGCATGTTGTGTCCGTCCGTATGGAATAATTTTTCTCATAGTTGGGCCTAGAAGATATTTACATTAATTATAAGGGTCGATTACATAAAAGACACCCAAAATATTATTATTTACAAATCAAGCATCCTCTTCCATCCATTTTTCAAAATGGCACTAAAATATAAAATGTCATGATGAAACCCCAACTCATACTTTTTATTTTTATCAAATTTACAATGTTTATTATGCACCGTATGTAATTATCCTTTATAATATAATCTTTTCTTAAAGTTAAAAATAATGATATTTTCTATGTGTTATGAAAGATTTCAGGGTTATAAGTGCAAAAAATAAAGTTTTGATGTTAGATATGTAAATGCATAGAAGTTGGGTGGTATTTATGTAAATTTCCCTTTAATTAAATACAAATTTGTTTTAAAAAGTTAGGAAAAAAAGCTTCTTTTATGCAAAGGCTATTAAGGTTTGGCTTTAAATGTGAATAAAGAGTTTTAAAGGGAGAATTATTAGGCTGAAAAGAGAGAGGAGTTGATTCTAACTCAGACTTCACTAAAATTAGAAAGCAAAACCCAGCAAGTTTAGATGACTCTATTTATTGATTTTTGTGACGTTGCACGCAATAGCCGAAGCTAAGCTACTTCTTTTGGATTAGGAGGACGGCTGCCATAATCAATTTAATTACAGATGCTAATCATGTAGCTAATTATGGTGATTATTAAAATTTTAATAAATTTCCTTATTTTTGTAAGATATATATATTGCACAACCAAATTTGAATATAAACAAAAAAAAAAAAAATATTAATCTTAAATTGTCGTGTATCTAAATTTATGTAATTTTATTTTAAAAGTGAGAATGATTTAAGCCATGTTGAAATAGTGTGTCGCGTTGGCATCCTTGGTGTAAGACCTCTGAGGTTGGGGGTTTGAATCCCTTCTGACACGGTTGGCCTTAAGGAGGTGGTGCTCGAATTATTAGGCATATTAGGAGTGGTTGGAGGCTCGTATAATAGCCTCTGACCATTCCTTATATATATATATATATATAGTATGAAGAATTACATTTTTATTTTAAGATATCTCAATTTTAAAAGTTAAATTTTGTTGAGTGCTAGAAAAATTATGGAATTATATTGATGTCAATTGATAGAAAAAAATATTGGTCTGGGATACCGACAGACGACAACGATACAACAATGACGACCCAACCATAAAAATCAGACAATGATAGTCGAATGAGGGCGATAGGTCAATAATGCTCAAGCGAACATGATTAGGTGATAGAAATAGAGGGAGATTATCATCAGGGGTTAATGTTTAGGTAGAGATCTAGAATTTTTCAATTTTTTGTGCTTTCTCTTTGTATGGATATCTTCTTTATGCAGAATGAGACCCAATTTAGAAAATTTTGAGACCAGTGACCTATAATTTGTTGAATTCAAGCAATATATTTAATGATATTTGAGTGAGATTTTGAAAAATGGATGAAAGAGAATGCTGGTTTTGTAAATAGTAATGTTATGAAGTGCCCCTAAATTTTGCATTTTCATATATAATAAGATAACTAATGTCAAAATTCATGTTTAATGTTAGATATGTCAATATATAAGAGTTGAGTGATATATATGTAAATCCTCCTAAATGAAATTGGCAATATTTAATGTTAATAAAGGCTTGTAGGAAGAATTTTTAGAGTATTTTTGAGTTATGAACATATCTTATGATTTATCGTTTGTGATTTAGAAAATTTTTCTTATTGTTTACTAGTTTTCATTCTATTTTTAAGTAGCTTAAATCATTTTAGAAGTCTAAATGAGTTGAGCCAAATTCAAGTTATCTTCGGCTTAAGCATGAGAGCTTGATTAATTAATCAAGTTTGTGTGTGGACTCGAGCTTAATTCTATGGGTTCGAGTCGACTCATGAGCTAGCTTAATTATTATGGAGGACTAAGAGTTATTTTGATGCAAGAATCTTATAAAAAATAAAAATAAAAAAATGAAAAAATAAATAATAAAAAATTGATTGTAATAGATATTTATTTTTAGCTCTGTGCTTAAACTTTGAATGCTAATAAATTATAAGTGTAGTAACTAACAACAATTCTTAAACAAGCTTGCATACGAGCTAACGAGCACAAGCTTTGTGACAGCCCAAACTCTAACCCACTAAGGTATTATCCGCTTCGGCTTACTGGCCTCAAGTTTTACCTAGTTGGTGTAACTTTCTAATAGGTCATTCATCCTATGAGTGCTCCCATGTAAGAACACTTAAATTTTGGAGTTTCTAATGGAAATTCAACTATTATACCAAAAGGGGCTTCGATGTTTAGGAATTCAGCTTCATCCTACTAATGGGGTTTCACAATCTGCTCCACTTAAGTAATTGACATCCTCATCAGTTTGTGTATAGGTGGCTCCTACCTTGTATTTGTCGCATTTTGGGTTCAAGAGGTAGCTTTCAAGGCGTAACATTTTTTTTTTATCGTGCTTAGTTCTTCCGACTGGTGCAATACATGATATCATTTGTGACAATCTGAACTCTGACCCGTCAGGCTATTGTCCACTTTGGCAGAATAGCCTCACAGTTTTCCTCATTGGTGTAACTTTCCATCCTATGAGTGCTCCCATGCGAGCACACTTAACTTTGAAGTTTTTAATGTAACTCTATCATTTAATCAAAAGGTGCCTCAGTATTTAAGAGTTTGACTTCAAGTTACTTAAGGCATTTCACAATCTCCCCTACTTAAGTACTTCACGTCTTTGACTGTGCTCGTACACAGAATCATTTACCAGGCATCTAGGATTTCAAAAGTGGCCCCTACAGGATCAATAGCTGGCTCCAACCATGTAGCACTTTCTTCAATATGTCACTTAGTTCCCAACTTCTGGATAGAGTATTGCTCTACTATTTGCAAGTGCCCGAACTCCAGCCCATCAAGGTATTGTCTGCTTTGGCTTAATGTCCTCACGATTTTGTCTAATTAGTGTAACTTTCCATGAGGTTTAACTTTAAAGTTTCTAATAAAATTCCACTATTACACTAAGACGCGCCTCGATGTTTACGAGTTCTACTTTATTCTACTTAAGGTGTTTCAAAATCTCCCCCATTAAAGTAATTGTTGTCCTCATTAGTTTTTGTATCTCAAAATAAATGACCAGTCATATAGGGTTCTAGAGGTGACTCCCACCATATAACATTTTGACTCATCTTGGGTTCAAGAGGTGGCTCCAATGGTGTAGCCTTTATTCTATATTTTACTTAGTTCTCATCCTTCAGCGGATGCAATACTCTAATACCATTTGTTAAAGTTTGAACTCCCACCCATCAAGTTATTGTCCGCTTTGGCTAAATGGCCTCAATCTTTTGCCCCATTGGTGTAACTTCTCAATAGGTCACCCATTCTATGAGTGTTCCCAATTGAGTACACTTAACTTTAGAGTTTCTAATAAAATTTCACCATTTAAACAAAAGGCGTCTCAGTGTTTAAGAGTTCAATTTCAAGCTATTTAAGGTGTTTTGCAATCTCCCATACTTAATTACCTTTGTTAGTGGTCAAACCTAGAATCATTCACCAGGCATATAAGATTCCAGAGTTAGCCCCTCCAAAATCAAAAGATGGCTTCCACTTTGTAGCACTTTATCCCATATAGGGTCAAGAGGTGGCTCCTTTGGCATAACACTTTGTCTTGTATGGCACTTAGTATACATTTTCTGGTTGGTCTATTGTTATAATATAATTTGTGACAACTCAAACTCTTACTCATTAAGGTATTATCTGCTTTAACCTAGTGGCCTCATTATTTTATTCCATTGGTGTAAGTTCACTGAAGGTTTCCCATCCTAAGATTGATCTCATGTGAGCACACTTAACTTTGGAGTTTCGAATGAAATTCCACTGTTACACCAAAATATACTTCGATGTTTAAGAGCTCAGTT